CCCTAAGGCTAACACTGTGCACGGATATTATTGTACTGTAGGTCAACCTTAACAAGTGTTGCACTTGTCAGTATTGTAAGTAACGTGTATTGTTTGTAAGTAGTAAGTAGTCTTTTTAATTAATTAATTAATTAATTGATTAATACAATGTAACTTATTGTAGTGTAAGTAATGTAAGTAATTGTRTTGTTAGTAATTATCCAGTAAGTGATGTAGGTAATTGTCCCATAAGTAATGTAAGTAGTTGAACTGTAAGTTGTTTTTTTCCCTGTGTTTTGCAATAAAAAAATAAAAAATAAAAAATAAAAAATAAAAAATTGATAAAGCAAGGAAATTCTACTCACGATCAGCGCTTGACCTAATGTTTTCACTACGTTTGTAGCCATATTTTGCTCGCAAATAGCAATGTCCCGGATGTACTTGAATTTTATCGAGCGGGAAATGCCATTTCCAGACTTCAACAGATGTTAATTCGAAGACTTTAGCGACATCAAACGCCAACAGCAGTTGGAGATGTCTAGTCCATTGCACGTCTAAACCCTAAACTGATGTGGCTAAAGCTCTTAAAGCTTTGCTGTCTAAAGTAAGCACAACATTATCGCCACAGTGCAAACAGCGTACTATTACGGGACTAAATGATGTCCCGTTTGATACATCTCAGGCCCGCCTCATGTACGAGGCGTATCGAATTTTTGGCCAGGTCATAAATAGGGTAGCAAAAATCGCAGATTTTGGTCATAAATAGGGTAAAGGTTTTGGGAAGTGATTTATGATTCTTTGGGGAATTAATACTTCGGGTAACTTTTAATCCTGGGTTAGCGTTAAACCCGGTCCTTGATGTTTACACATGAGGGCCAAAACCAAAACGGAACCCATTAAACCAAGAAGGGCACTAACGCACCAAAGAAACATCATAGAGATTATCATAGTCTTATGTGACACCTAGTCATGAAAGAAATAGGTGATATAGTACCAGGAATTGTTATAGCAAATTATCAAGTGAATTGTCTTGTTTCCTTCATTAATTTAAGAGCTGATAGTCTTTATATTATTGATAATCTGTAATAGCTAAAGGGGCTTTTTTATATATGTTTATTTAAAAAGATTGGAACCTAATCTTAAAAAGATTGTAAGCAAGTAAATGAATAAATAAAGTGTGTACAGTGTGAGGTAATGTGAATTTTGTTAAAGTTCTCTCATCAGGATCATATCTTGACACAAATTCTCCACCCCCTCCCCCCCCAACCCTTCCGCACTTACCTCCCTTTCCTAGCTACCCACTCTTTTGATAGATCTTTAGGCGTGTTGTCCTTAGGAACTACAATTTCAGCAATCATCTTTTCAGTGACACTGCACCGCTCTAGAGATTTCTTCCAGATTTTTATAGCCCAGCCCCTAGGGCAAACTTACACCCAGTAGGGACAGGCCTACAGGAAATGCCCGGAACACTGCTGTTTTTTGCGTTACATGCAGGATGCCAACAGCTGATCGGGTGATGATGTAGCTTGCTTGCCAAAATGTTCACAACGTTCGATCTGCTGGAAGTCAGTGGTTCAGGTCGTATTAAAGGCGATCGGGGGAAGCATTTTCTGAAATCGTCGGAACGTCATTAGAAAATTTTTATGATTTCTTGGGATATTAATTTAATGTTCTTTTGAAAACGACCTATTAGCAAAGTTACTCTTTGTTACGAGGCGTTATCGCCGGGCGCCTAGCTCTTTCTCCAACTTTTTCCGTCGCCGATTTTTCTCCCCGTCGTCTCGACGTTTCTTCGCCCCCACTAACTGGCAGTAACTGCCCCTCGGTCTTCTCTGGCTATTTCATCCGTCCGCTTGTCCTAGAGTCCAAGCCAAAGGTGCGTTCTTAGATCGTGGTTGACGGGGGCGGCAGCTCAGCTGATCAATTATACATTCAGCTTGTGAGGGTTGGGTGATGCACTACCGAGGGCTTTTGTGAGTCACTTCTACATGTATTTTTGTCCTTTCGTCAGAATATATTATATTGATCGCTTTTTGTTTAAAGCAAATAGTGGAGCAAGCTGTTCGCCTCTAAATAATTCCGAGGTTTCAAGTGCGTTACTAACTGATTCGAATACAGTGTGTTGCACAGCAAGATTGCAAAATGGCTGTCTTTTGGGTATTGCAGTTGTTACGTGAGTATACGAGAACTTCTTATAATTATTAAGCTTATATCATATTTTCAAGCAGGACTTTAAGCACGTTACACTTTTGGTTTAAAGAATATGGGGATTACCGATTTCTTAAAATCTGTTTTCAAAAGCAAGTAGTTGCATGTAAGCTTCGATCTGTGACCTTTGTTCAACTTTTATTTTCCTGTCGAAGCTGAGTTGTTTAATATTTTAGAAATACTTTCAAATCGAGGTTGGACTCGAAGGCGGTATTAGGTATTACTTCATGTATATTTTTGACATTCATTCATCTTGATTCATTATATACACTTTCTTTTAACCGTAAGATCTGAGTAGATGGAACTTAGCCAGCGCTAGCTACCAAAATTGTAATTTGAAATAACTGTGATGGCTGGTTTGTAATGGACAATAGACTGATATCGTTTGAGGTATTTTTTGATGTCATCGTTTACGACAGTGCAATGCAGTAATGTTTCACAAACAGTCTGACATAAAGATTAAAAGTTGAACCAGCTGCGAGTCACATTTCTTTTTTCTCATCTAGTGTAATCCAGCGTAAATACAATTCAGCTACTAGGGCAGCTTTTCAACTAACCGTGTTGTTACTCTTTTTATTTACATAACAAAACAATAATTAACGTTTTTAATATGTCAGCATATAACAGCACAATGGAAGCAGTTGTGCTTTTTCCTATTTATTTATTGATCGATATCTTTCCCTGGAATATTCCTTTGGCGGTTTTCAATTGAGGGTCAAAAGGGTTCTGTCCGTGTGTACAAGTACACAAGAATGAGGCCTTCAAAGGGGGGTAGTGGTGTTGCCATGTCGCATCTTTTCATGTACAGATGTCGCTGAACCAGCAGAAGCAAATGTCGCTGTTGTTTTTCTGCATGAAGTCATATGTCACTGTTGCTACAAGGTTGATTTTGTTAGAGTTTATTCAATGGAAAAGCATATAAGTTTCTGACATTTACAGACTTAATAAGAGAATACAATTTCTAAATAGGCAAAAAAGTCCAAAAAGGAACCATGTTGCTGTCTTTTCTAATGCTTCTCGTGTCACTGTCAAATTTTAGCACTGCACTCGATTCACTTGGTGCTGATTAGAAATTCCTGTGCTGCTGGTTTTAGGGTCGGGTCGCTTATCACCTTTACCCCTTGGAAGGCTTGAAGAACTAAAACAAAAGACCTAATAAAATACAACAGCTAAACAAAGGCTCATAAAGAAAGCCAGTGCAATGATTATTCCCTCAGTGTACTGCTACACCAGGGCATGACCAAAAGCAAGTACTTTGGTTTTGGTTTTAGAAAATGGTTTTCGAGCGGTACTGTAATTTCAAATCATTGATAGTCATGCACTTTGTTGTAATTTGTTATAAGTAGTACATGTACACATAATTTACAACAGTTCTGTCATAACATGAATTTTAATTTGTCTTTTCCTTGTAGTTGTTTTTCTAGTTGGTCGTGTTGCATCTACTCGTAAGTAGCTTTTTTACTATTTAAAACTATGATGTTTATTCTACATGATTTGGCTAATTATCATCATTTAGTAAGCACACACCAAACCTTGCATCACTCAAGAAGTTTATGTACACACACAGAAAGAACATAGGTTTGGCATGATGCAATAGCAGAGCAAAATGAGGCAGTGGGATTACTGAAGTTTCTACTGTAGAAAAATCTAACAGCAACATTTCTTTGCACTTTTACTCACTTAGTTTCACTTTTTTTAAGTTTTTTACAACATCTGCATTATTTTACAGTAACCACAAATATGAGCAGGTGCAAATGTACAAGTACATTACTAGCAATACAATACTAGTATTTAATTTTGCTACTTACAGGTCAGTCAGGATACATGTAGTTTAGTATTTATGCCATGGCTAATTGTACAAGTTTACAAAAGACTTGACTCACAAAAGGTTTGACTGGACATAAACTAAGCAAAGAATGTGAGACTTATTTTTACAGAAATTTTAATGGCAGGATGTGGGATAAAAAATACTTCCCTTTGCTCATTTTGACAGGCAGTATGCTGAATAGTTTTAAAATTGATTGGAATTATGCAGGATGAAAAATTGAAAATCACGCTTTATGGACAATACGTGGAGAACTGCAACTCTAACAAGGCAGGATCAAAAGGACGAAAAAAGAAAATTGTATTAAGGATGATATGTGGAGGTCAAACTGCAAATCAAGCATCCCAATGTTTGAAGTCCAATTTGAACACGCAACCATACAAATTGTTAATTTCTGATGGCATATTCTTTTCAGTAAGATATTAATAGTTTGGTTGTACATTTACCCTTTTGTTCATTTCACAGTGAGGTTTTACTCAAGATTGTGTTGGTTTACCTCTAAAAACTGATGCAAGAGCTGTCAAACATTTGTCAGGCACAGACCTAGGATAAATGGTGACCAGTTTCTGAAACAATCATCGCTGAAGATGCAAGCTTCTAGAGGGGTCCGGGGTCATGCTCTGCAGGAAATTTTTTGGATTTTAACTCCCTTAAGTCCCATTTACCGGGTTTGTAAGTCATTCTGAAAAATCCGACCAATTTCCGTAAGATAGTGGAAACCAGTATGTCCGCACCTGTTCATAGTCGCTACTTGGCAGGAAATTGATCTTATTACTAATACTTATAAGAAGTTTTTATTCCAGCAGTAGGTCTAATAGTCCTCAGTCTTTTTTTTGTATTTTGTTTGTAGCATGTGGAGAAGCCCTCACTGGATCTAGTGGATTCCTTACCAGTGAAAGTTTTCCGAGTACTTTTCCTCGAAACTCGGAATGTGCCTGGAATATCACAGTTCCTGTTGGGCAAATTATCAGACTAACTTTCCTCAACTTCTCATTGGAACCAAATCAGAATACTGACTGTACAAACACTCTTGGAGGGGGCCGTTTGTTTATTACTAATGTTGCATCAGATGATGGCGAATCACAATTCAAGCTTTGTGGTCAAAACATTCCTAATCCAGTGTACTCTGTCGGAAATTTTGTCCAAGTGAGCTTGCTGTCACTCAACGTTGAACTCGCAGGGTTTAATTTGACTTATGAGGCAATCTCTCCTCAGGATGGTAAGTATACACATAAATGCTGGCATTTTGTGTGAGACCTCATTCTCATTCCCAGAGGCCACGCTCCATTAAGTCAGCACCAAGAATCGCAACCTCTGGGAAGGTCCAATTTTCTGAGCATGCACAGAGTAATCATTTCATATTCTCAGCCAATCAGATTTCACAGACTTGACTCTGAGCATGCGCAGAGTGATGGGAAGGCCATGATTTGTGGACTTCTGGTGTTGGACTAGGCCAGAGGTTGCGATTCTTGGTGCTGACCAAAAGAAGCGTGGCCCTTTGGGATGAGAATGATGAGACCTCAGGATAAAAAACTTTCACCCAATATTAAATTCATTGGTCATTCATGCAACAAATGAATCAGTTCAGATTGCATAATTGGAGTTTGTTCTTCTCAGTGTGTCCCACACTGGTCCAGCTGAGTGAAATATCCGGTGTCATCACCAGTCCTTTCTACCCCAGAAAATACCCAAACAACCAGAACTGCACCTGGCAAATCACAGCCAACAATGGAAGCCGCATCAAACTAGAAATTTCAGACACCATGGACATCTTTGAGTGTGGTTTTGGAAGATGTGTGTGTGACTATCTGGAAATCCAAAATGGTTACTCCAGTGATGGAGCTGCAAGTGGGAAAAAGTGTGGCAAACCCAATAAAGTGTTAACATATTACTCAACTCTTGACACCTTGAAGCTTCGTTTCTTCTCGGATGGTGCTAATGACATGCAGAGTGTGGGATTTAAAGCAACTTATACTCAGTTGAACTTCACGCCACCTGGTAAGTGTTCCTTTCTGGGGAGGGGTAGGGACAGCCCAGTTGGAGTTTGGTGAGTGGTGCAGTCTTTTCAAGTAAAGATGCATATAAACTGCAATGTGTGAGTTTTGCGTGATTCGTTCTCGTAGAACAGTGGTCTCCTCAGTTGACGTTGAATAAGAGAGGTGGTAATAAATTAAATTAAATTAAATTAAATTACTTGTCAAGTAAAGTTGCATTTGCATTATCAGGGCTGTGCTCTAGAAGTGCCTGGGTGCCACAGGTGACTAACTTTTGCCTTCGGGTGACTGGAAAAACTTACTTTTTTCATGTAAGCTTAAGTGCTGGGCACCCAGGCTTTAATGGTTAGGAGCCTTTGGGCTCCCTGTAATTTTTCTTAGACCACGGCCTTGATTATATAAAAGTGTTATTTTTGCCTGCAGTGTTCCTATATACACTGCAGTTTGTGACCCTGTTTACTAAACCGTTTTTCTCCCCGTGGAATTAAATCACACTAAACAACTAGAGTCAGTACTTGCTTTAAAGAGCTGTAGAAAGTATTCATTAGTCATTTAATTTTTGGCTTTTCTTGATTCTCTACATTTGTGTTTAATTTTCCAGTTTGTCCAAATCAAGCAGTTCCTCTCACTGGTAACGGAAGATTGAGCAGCCCAAACTACCCCATGGATAATTATCTTCCTTCCGAGTTTTGCACCTGGAGTATTTCTGTTTCAGCTGGTAAACGTGTGAAGTTTGCATTCACTGATTTCGCCCTTGGTTCATGTTCGCTTGAATGCAGTTCAGACACCTGTACTTATGTGGAAGTTTATGATGGACCTTCAGAAAGCTCTCCTTTGTTGGCACGTTTCTGTCATGGCTCTGCTGAGGAAGAGAAGGTTTCAAGTGGAAACCAGATGTTTGTAAAGTTCCATGCTGGCTTTTCACTTGGTCGGGGTTTTGAAGCACGGTATTCTGAGACTCAATCAAGTAATTATCTTTACTTTCTGTTTTATTTAATTGCCTGCACATTTATGAAAACAAAGTTAAACTCAATTGCTATCCTTTCATAGATGGATTCAGCTAATATGTTTACGTTGCCATCCAATTCAGACCACATGACGATTTCTTAATTACTTTGGGAGGTTACAATTGTGCCATTTGTCAGAAGCAACTGATTGCATTGGAGTATGTACAAACAGAACAATTGAATGAATCAAATGAATCGTCACATGATCTGAATTGGGTGGCAAAAAGGATGTAAACCTGTTAGCAGGATCCGTTTACTGTGGTGTAATCCTCCACTGTAACCCTAACCCTAACCCTAACCCCTTGGTCAGAATAACTGCAGACTATTAAGATGGAGGGAGAATGCATCATTTTTATTGTAAAATTCAGGATGTTAGTCTTTAACATATCAGCATGAAATAGAAGTCATGTTCTCAAGATAACCTGGGTTAGTAGCATCTGTCCTTTACCTACTTAATTGGCAAGTGAAGTGTTTTGAAGGAAATTTTGGAAGAAATCCAAATTTCAGACTGAAATACTGTAAGAGATCAAATGATTGCACTCTCCACCTGCTTGGAGTATTTTTTTCTAATTTTCTTTTATATGCAGTGTGGAGTTTTGAAGTATGCACTGTGAAGCCAGAAAATGTGCTCTGATTATACTTTGTACAGTTGGCATATGATTCACCCAGTCAACATTACAGTAGAACAGTAAGCACTTAATGACTGGCCCCAAGGGAAACAGTGAGTTTTGTTTCCCCGAGACTCTCAGTGTTCCCCGAGGTGAAGCCAAGGGTAACATTGAGGTCGAGGGGAAACAAACCTCACTGTTTCTTGCAGGACCAGTCATTAAGTGTTTTGTTATACCTCCCAACTCAAAAATAGAGAAAACTGCAAAGAAATCGTTTGCTTGAGGCCGGCTGGCTCACAAATTTGCCAGGGTTTCAAGGAGCACAACCTGATCACGTGCAGGTCGAAAGTTCAAGTTGTTGTTTCCCTAGGGAGTTAGTGAGTTTTGAGCCACGACACGTGACACGTTCTCCTCCAATCGGAAAACGTATTGGATTTGGGAGGTATAACAAATTCCATTTATGTTGAACTCCAATACAATAGTGGTTTTTCTTATGTTCATCATAGTAATATACATNTTTTATGATTTCTTGGGATATTAATTTAATGTTCTTTTGAAAACGACCTATTAGCAAAGTTACTCTTTGTTACGAGGCGTTATCGCCGGGCGCCTAGCTCTTTCTCCAACTTTTTCCGTCGCCGATTTTTCTCCCCGTCGTCTCGACGTTTCTTCGCCCCCACTAACTGGCAGTAACTGCCCCTCGGTCTTCTCTGGCTATTTCATCCGTCCGCTTGTCCTAGAGTCCAAGCCAAAGGTGCGTTCTTAGATCGTGGTTGACGGGGGCGGCAGCTCAGCTGATCAATTATACATTCAGCTTGTGAGGGTTGGGTGATGCACTACCGAGGGCTTTTGTGAGTCACTTCTACATGTATTTTTGTCCTTTCGTCAGAATATATTATATTGATCGCTTTTTGTTTAAAGCAAATAGTGGAGCAAGCTGTTCGCCTCTAAATAATTCCGAGGTTTCAAGTGCGTTACTAACTGATTCGAATACAGTGTGTTGCACAGCAAGATTGCAAAATGGCTGTCTTTTGGGTATTGCAGTTGTTACGTGAGTATACGAGAACTTCTTATAATTATTAAGCTTATATCATATTTTCAAGCAGGACTTTAAGCACGTTACACTTTTGGTTTAAAGAATATGGGGATTACCGATTTCTTAAAATCTGTTTTCAAAAGCAAGTAGTTGCATGTAAGCTTCGATCTGTGACCTTTGTTCAACTTTTATTTTCCTGTCGAAGCTGAGTTGTTTAATATTTTAGAAATACTTTCAAATCGAGGTTGGACTCGAAGGCGGTATTAGGTATTACTTCATGTATATTTTTGACATTCATTCATCTTGATTCATTATATACACTTTCTTTTAACCGTAAGATCTGAGTAGATGGAACTTAGCCAGCGCTAGCTACCAAAATTGTAATTTGAAATAACTGTGATGGCTGGTTTGTAATGGACAATAGACTGATATCGTTTGAGGTATTTTTTGATGTCATCGTTTACGACAGTGCAATGCAGTAATGTTTCACAAACAGTCTGACATAAAGATTAAAAGTTGAACCAGCTGCGAGTCACATTTCTTTTTTCTCATCTAGTGTAATCCAGCGTAAATACAATTCAGCTACTAGGGCAGCTTTTCAACTAACCGTGTTGTTACTCTTTTTATTTACATAACAAAACAATAATTAACGTTTTTAATATGTCAGCATATAACAGCACAATGGAAGCAGTTGTGCTTTTTCCTATTTATTTATTGATCGATATCTTTCCCTGGAATATTCCTTTGGCGGTTTTCAATTGAGGGTCAAAAGGGTTCTGTCCGTGTGTACAAGTACACAAGAATGAGGCCTTCAAAGGGGGGTAGTGGTGTTGCCATGTCGCATCTTTTCATGTACAGATGTCGCTGAACCAGCAGAAGCAAATGTCGCTGTTGTTTTTCTGCATGAAGTCATATGTCACTGTTGCTACAAGGTTGATTTTGTTAGAGTTTATTCAATGGAAAAGCATATAAGTTTCTGACATTTACAGACTTAATAAGAGAATACAATTTCTAAATAGGCAAAAAAGTCCAAAAAGGAACCATGTTGCTGTCTTTTCTAATGCTTCTCGTGTCACTGTCAAATTTTAGCACTGCACTCGATTCACTTGGTGCTGATTAGAAATTCCTGTGCTGCTGGTTTTAGGGTCGGGTCGCTTATCACCTTTACCCCTTGGAAGGCTTGAAGAACTAAAACAAAAGACCTAATAAAATACAACAGCTAAACAAAGGCTCATAAAGAAAGCCAGTGCAATGATTATTCCCTCAGTGTACTGCTACACCAGGGCATGACCAAAAGCAAGTACTTTGGTTTTGGTTTTAGAAAATGGTTTTCGAGCGGTACTGTAATTTCAAATCATTGATAGTCATGCACTTTGTTGTAATTTGTTATAAGTAGTACATGTACACATAATTTACAACAGTTCTGTCATAACATGAATTTTAATTTGTCTTTTCCTTGTAGTTGTTTTTCTAGTTGGTCGTGTTGCATCTACTCGTAAGTAGCTTTTTTACTATTTAAAACTATGATGTTTATTCTACATGATTTGGCTAATTATCATCATTTAGTAAGCACACACCAAACCTTGCATCACTCAAGAAGTTTATGTACACACACAGAAAGAACATAGGTTTGGCATGATGCAATAGCAGAGCAAAATGAGGCAGTGGGATTACTGAAGTTTCTACTGTAGAAAAATCTAACAGCAACATTTCTTTGCACTTTTACTCACTTAGTTTCACTTTTTTTAAGTTTTTTACAACATCTGCATTATTTTACAGTAACCACAAATATGAGCAGGTGCAAATGTACAAGTACATTACTAGCAATACAATACTAGTATTTAATTTTGCTACTTACAGGTCAGTCAGGATACATGTAGTTTAGTATTTATGCCATGGCTAATTGTACAAGTTTACAAAAGACTTGACTCACAAAAGGTTTGACTGGACATAAACTAAGCAAAGAATGTGAGACTTATTTTTACAGAAATTTTAATGGCAGGATGTGGGATAAAAAATACTTCCCTTTGCTCATTTTGACAGGCAGTATGCTGAATAGTTTTAAAATTGATTGGAATTATGCAGGATGAAAAATTGAAAATCACGCTTTATGGACAATACGTGGAGAACTGCAACTCTAACAAGGCAGGATCAAAAGGACGAAAAAAGAAAATTGTATTAAGGATGATATGTGGAGGTCAAACTGCAAATCAAGCATCCCAATGTTTGAAGTCCAATTTGAACACGCAACCATACAAATTGTTAATTTCTGATGGCATATTCTTTTCAGTAAGATATTAATAGTTTGGTTGTACATTTACCCTTTTGTTCATTTCACAGTGAGGTTTTACTCAAGATTGTGTTGGTTTACCTCTAAAAACTGATGCAAGAGCTGTCAAACATTTGTCAGGCACAGACCTAGGATAAATGGTGACCAGTTTCTGAAACAATCATCGCTGAAGATGCAAGCTTCTAGAGGGGTCCGGGGTCATGCTCTGCAGGAAATTTTTTGGATTTTAACTCCCTTAAGTCCCATTTACCGGGTTTGTAAGTCATTCTGAAAAATCCGACCAATTTCCGTAAGATAGTGGAAACCAGTATGTCCGCACCTGTTCATAGTCGCTACTTGGCAGGAAATTGATCTTATTACTAATACTTATAAGAAGTTTTTATTCCAGCAGTAGGTCTAATAGTCCTCAGTCTTTTTTTTGTATTTTGTTTGTAGCATGTGGAGAAGCCCTCACTGGATCTAGTGGATTCCTTACCAGTGAAAGTTTTCCGAGTACTTTTCCTCGAAACTCGGAATGTGCCTGGAATATCACAGTTCCTGTTGGGCAAATTATCAGACTAACTTTCCTCAACTTCTCATTGGAACCAAATCAGAATACTGACTGTACAAACACTCTTGGAGGGGGCCGTTTGTTTATTACTAATGTTGCATCAGATGATGGCGAATCACAATTCAAGCTTTGTGGTCAAAACATTCCTAATCCAGTGTACTCTGTCGGAAATTTTGTCCAAGTGAGCTTGCTGTCACTCAACGTTGAACTCGCAGGGTTTAATTTGACTTATGAGGCAATCTCTCCTCAGGATGGTAAGTATACACATAAATGCTGGCATTTTGTGTGAGACCTCATTCTCATTCCCAGAGGCCACGCTCCATTAAGTCAGCACCAAGAATCGCAACCTCTGGGAAGGTCCAATTTTCTGAGCATGCACAGAGTAATCATTTCATATTCTCAGCCAATCAGATTTCACAGACTTGACTCTGAGCATGCGCAGAGTGATGGGAAGGCCATGATTTGTGGACTTCTGGTGTTGGACTAGGCCAGAGGTTGCGATTCTTGGTGCTGACCAAAAGAAGCGTGGCCCTTTGGGATGAGAATGATGAGACCTCAGGATAAAAAACTTTCACCCAATATTAAATTCATTGGTCATTCATGCAACAAATGAATCAGTTCAGATTGCATAATTGGAGTTTGTTCTTCTCAGTGTGTCCCACACTGGTCCAGCTGAGTGAAATATCCGGTGTCATCACCAGTCCTTTCTACCCCAGAAAATACCCAAACAACCAGAACTGCACCTGGCAAATCACAGCCAACAATGGAAGCCGCATCAAACTAGAAATTTCAGACACCATGGACATCTTTGAGTGTGGTTTTGGAAGATGTGTGTGTGACTATCTGGAAATCCAAAATGGTTACTCCAGTGATGGAGCTGCAAGTGGGAAAAAGTGTGGTACACCCATTAAAGTGTTAACATATTACTCAACTCTTGACACCTTGAATCTTCGTTTCTTCTCGGATGGTGCTAATGAGATGCAAAGTGTGGGATTTAAAGCAACTTATACTCAGTTGAACTTCACGCCACCTGGTAAGTGTTCCCTTCTGGGGAGGGGTGGGGACAACTCAGTTGGTGTTTGGTGAGTGGTGTAGTCTTTTCAAGTAAAGATGCATATAAATTGTACCGGTAGTTTTAAATTTTGTGAGTTTTGCATGATTCGTTCTCCTAGAATGGTGGTCTCTTCCTCTGACACTGAATAAGAGAGGCAGTAATAAATTAAATTACATTAAATTACTTGTCAAGTAAAGTTGCATTTGCATTATCAGGACTGTGCTCTAGAACTGCCTGGGTGCCACAGGTAACTAACTTTTGCCTTCAGGCGATTGGAAAAACTTACTTTTTTCATGTAAGCTTAAGTATTGGGTACCCATGCTTTAATGGTTAAGAGCCTTTGGGCTCCTTGTAATTTTTCTCAGACCACAGCCTTGATTATATAAAAGTGTTATTTGTTTACTAAAACATTGTTCTCCCTGTGGAATTAAATCACACTAAACAACTGGAGTCAGTACTTGCTTTAAAGAGCTGTAGAAGGTATTCATTAGTCGTTTAATTTTTGGCTTTTCTTGATTCTCTACCTTTGTGTTTAATTTTCCAGTTTGTCCAAATCAAGCAGTACCTCTCACTGGTAACGGGAAATTCAGCAGCCCAAACTACCCCATAGATAATTATCTTCCTTCCAAGTTTTGCACCTGGAGTATTTCTGTTTCAGCTGGTAAACGTGTGAAGTTTGCATTCACTGATTTCGCCCTTGGTTCATGTTCGCTTGAATGCAGTTCAGACACCTGTACTTATGTGGAAGTTTATGATGGACCTTCAGAAAGCTCTCCTTTGTTGGCACGTTTCTGTCATGGCTCTGCTGAGGAAGAGAAGGTTTCAAGTGGAAACCAGATGTTTGTAAAGTTCCATGCTGGCTTTTCACTTGGTCGGGGTTTTGAAGCACGGTATTCTGAGACTCAATCAAGTAATTATCTTTACTTTCTGTTTTATTTAATTGCCTGCACATTTATGAAAACAAAGTTAAACTCAATTGCTATCCTTTCATAGATGGATTCAGCTAATATGTTTACGTTGCCATCCAATTCAGACCACATGACGATTTCTTAATTACTTTGGGAGGTTACAATTGTGCCATTTGTCAGAAGCAACTGATTGCATTGGAGTATGTACAAACAGAACAATTGAATGAATCAAATGAATCGTCACATGATCTGAATTGGGTGGCAAAAAGGATGTAAACCTGTTAGCAGGATCCGTTTACTGTGGTGTAATCCTCCACTGTAACCCTAACCCTAACCCTAACCCCTTGGTCAGAATAACTGCAGACTATTAAGATGGAGGGAGAATGCATCATTTTTATTGTAAAATTCAGGATGTTAGTCTTTAACATATCAGCATGAAATAGAAGTCATGTTCTCAAGATAACCTGGGTTAGTAGCATCTGTCCTTTACCTACTTAATTGGCAAGTGAAGTGTTTTGAAGGAAATTTTGGAAGAAATCCAAATTTCAGACTGAAATACTGTAAGAGATCAAATGATTGCACTCTCCACCTGCTTGGAGTATTTTTTTCTAATTTTCTTTTATATGCAGTGTGGAGTTTTGAAGTATGCACTGTGAAGCCAGAAAATGTGCTCTGATTATACTTTGTACAGTTGGCATATGATTCACCCAGTCGTCCTTGTGGTAGAACAATAAGCACTCAATGACTGGCCCGAAGGGAAACAGTGAGTTTTGTTTTTCCAAGACCCTCAGTGTTCCCTGTGGCAAAGCCAAGGGTAACATTGAGGTTGAGGGGAAGCAAACCTCACTGTTTCTTGCAGGACCAGTCATTAAGTGTTTTGTTATACCTCCAAACTCAAAAATAGAAAAAAACTGCAAAGAAATCGTTTGCTTGAGGCCAGTTGGCTCACAAATTTGCCAGGGTTTCAAGGAGCACAACCTGATCACGTGCAGGTCGAAAGTTCAAGTTGTTGTTTCCCTAGGGAGTTAGTGAGTTTTGAGCCACGACACGTGACACGTTCTCCTCCAATCGGAAAACGTATTGGATTTGGGAGGTATAACAAATTCCATTTATGTTGAACTCCAATACAATAGTGGTTTTTCTTATGTTCATCATAGTAATATACATGTACTCCAACATGAATGTGAGGTAATTTAGGGCAATTTTGTATTCCTGCCTAAAATTGCCTCACATTCAAGTTGAAATTTATCATAAATTATACAAATAANACACGTGACACGTTCTCCTCCAATCGGAAAACGTATTGGAGTTGGGAGGTATAACAAATTCCATTTATGTTGAACTCCAATACAATAGTGGTTTTTCTTAGATTCATCATAGTAATATACATGTACTCCAACATGAATGTGAGGTAATTTAGGGCAATTTTGTATTCCTGCCTAAAATTGCCTCACATTCAAGTTGAAATTTATCATAAATTATACAAATAAGAATAATTAACCGGGAAAAGGGCTTTTTCAGATATGCCCACTGGTTTGCTGAGTACAGTTTGTGTTTTCTTTACAGCAACCGGAGCCATGGTGTCTGCTACTGTGTTGTCTGTTTCCCTTCCAATCTTGGCTACCACCATGTTTTGGCCCTGAAGAAATGTTAACTCATAAGTGTCACAAGCATCTCTGCTGGATTTTAACAGATTAGCTAAATTTCATGGGTAAATGTCCTCAGTGAACTTGTTACTTTTTAAGAAAGCGACAAAAAACAATAGTTGTTAACCTGAACCTCATGAGAAGGCTTTCCCTCAACATGTCACTCCAAACATTAAATTCACATCAATTCTGCTCTAGTCTGACTTTCACGTGAGGTTTTGATGCATTTTAGCTGTAGTTTTTAGACTAGAATAGTTCAATTTAGATTAGTTAGAGAACATAATTCACAGAAATCATGATGGTCACTCATGTGAGTCGCTTGTTCCTTGTTTTTGAGGAAAAAGAGACTTGACAAGAAGATGTAAATATTTAATCGAGTTAAAACACGAACTGCTCGCGGCAGTTTCTAGTAATTGTCTGTCTTTGAGCTAAAATCAAAGTTATCACTCTGACCAATCACAGCGATCAATGCGGTGAACCAATCAGAACTGGATGCACAAACGAGTACCCAATGCCAAGCGCAGGAAAACATGCAGCCGGTGTCGAGCGCGGGAAAACATGCAGCCGGCGTCGAGAACAGGAAAACATGCAGCCGATATCAAGCGCGGGAAAACATGCAACGGGTGTCAGGTGCGGGAAAAAATGCGGCCAGTGCCAAACTGATTGACTAAAAACAACAGCATGTTAGCTCTGATTGGTAAGAACACTTATTCGAAATTTTGAACCAATAACAAAAACAAGGAAAAAAGAGATACATAGCAGAAGGCAATAGTGCAATGTTACATTTTTAGAACACAGTTCGTAAACCGCTAGAGTATAGTAAATTGGAAATCAAACAACTAATCTGCAGATCATGTCAAATCTTGATCAAGCAGATCGAATGGTCGATGTCTTTAATTCGTCATTTCCAAGCTTAAAACCTATTTAATCATTACTGGCGTGCATCAAAATAAAATCCTGTAGTGGATGATTTTTGTTATTCTCATCACTTATCTATTGTGGGGAGAAATTATATATCGATCACTGCTGTTAATTAAGAAGTTAAAGGCAAGCTATAAACCATGTAGTATAGTTACATTTACCCTCGAGGGCTTTTGTTAGGTGATATGCGTTTCCGGGGGGACTGACATACAAAAAGGACGGGGCTGCTTGTCGTACCTTTTAGGGGTTAAAAAAAGCTGTTTTGGGATCTCTGAGGACGTTCAGCCTCAAAAGGTCCACAGCGGGAGTTTTTACGGCACCTTTAACCCCTTGAATACCAACTACGCATATATGCGTAATGAATGGTCGTGCTCTTTGTACCACTTGTGACGTCATCAATTTAAATGTCATCAGATATTCTTGATAAGCAGATAGTAGTGCTAGGCTAGCCCTTTCCG